AAAAAATTTCCAACCAGTTCCAAGGCTAGGAAAAGCATTGGAAATACCTCACTCTTTCAGTCGATATCTAATCGTTAAGAGCCCTATGCTAGCTTTTTCTTAAATTCTTTAATTTCTAGCTTTTTCTTAAATTCTTCCTTTCCCTCCAACCATTAACTAAATTCAAATTGACCAATTGGTCATTTGGCCAGTCACTTGCCTCAATAACTGCCTAGGAGGTGCTAATTTTTTTTCTTTATTTTGTGTTTGCTTATTAGTTCTCTTTTCTTCGGTTCTTTTAGTTTGGAGATAGTAAGTCTGTAATTTCCATGTGCGGTCAGTTCGTTTCAATCGTCTTGTAGCGTCCATAACAAAGTTTTAAAGTAGTCATCTAGAAGGGATAAATGGTTGAGAACGTTTGGAACCCCAAATGTATGGGAAGCAAGCTCAAATGTCTGAAGTACATCGTCCTTTCTGCTCTCTTCGATGGTCTTATGCAGCTCTTTCAGCGAGTTTCTGTAAAGAAATTGAAACGAGAAGCAAATTAATACTCCAGAGTTTTGTCACAGTATATTTTTAATATTTCTACAAGGGTCACCCTTGAAAGTTTTTCCCATATAAACGCTGACAAAACATTTGGAGTTAGAAGGGAAACCCTTGCGGCTATTCAAACCGGGTAATTAAGTAGCCAGGGGTCGTGTAAAGAGGTCCTGAAGAGACTAGCCTGGGGTCGTGTAAAGTGGTCCTGAAGAGAGTAGCCTGGGGTCGTGTAAAGAGGTCCTGAAGAGAGTGAATGCGACCTGTGGGTATCATTCCAGAGGTACTCCCTCTGGAGTAATATTTAGGCACAGGCTAGTTCAGCCTCCAAGGAGTAGCACTCCACGCCACTTGCTACGTATGCTACTTGAGCTAACTGGTGAAGAACGGACAGAGGCCCCATGGAATGTCCATTTAAACTAAATTCATGGCACAGGATTGATTATTTTAAGATCTTTGGGAAAGATTTAAAAATAACTTTAAGACGCATTTCAAAGTCTTGATCCCTAAAGGTTGTTTTGGGGATTGGATAGCGTAATTATCTTTTGATACTTTGCAATGTACCCGATTTTATCGTTCGAACAGTGTTTGAAATCAGAGTATATTATACACGGTGTTTCTTTTAAATTTGATGAGCTCAACTGGCTGACTGATGTAATTTGCTTCGCCAATATGAAGCGTGCGCTTCCAGTTTTAAATTTTACGCTTTGAAACAAGGGTAGCATTCTACCAAAGGGAAGTGAACCCTGAACCGTCCCTGCTATGATTTTTAGGTGATCATGATCGACGAGTGAGTTACAAACAAGATATCTACATGTTGAAGCGGTAGCGTCATACAATGTCTTACTTTCGTATTCCATTGACCATAACCAAAACTAAACAACCCCCTACCTGACTCAGGAATGTTTAGTGTACCTATTTGATCATTACTTTCAACCATTCGTTACACTGACCTTGTTATTTCAACATCCACAATTCTTCTTCGGAGTTTGAGTCTGCAGTCCTCACAATTCTCTATCTGACAATCGTCGTCTCTATAGGTGTCGACCGTTTTACGAGCCAGCGCTATAAGAGGTAGATAGTCCCTGTTCATCTTGTGTATTCCATCGGCTAGGACTTGAGCCTCACCCTCACAAACGCGTGAAAGAATTGTGGGACGCGAACGGTTAGCGGTGACGATGTTGTTTTTGTCCAGAAGGACTCTACCCGACGACTTGGCCTGTCTCACGTAGGATATCATTTCAACTCGTGTTAGCGTCTCTGGTGGGTTCATCCGTCTTTTAAGCTCGCCCAGGCTGATGTTAAACTTTGTTTCTTTGAATCCGGGCAGTGAAAGAAGCCCATTTACCTGACATACTGCGTCGTTGTCATCACGAGTTGGTAGATGTTCAACACTGTTTGGCTTGCGAACCAGAAACGGTTCTTGATCAGAAACAGACTGCGAAAAGACTGAACCGTTGTCGAGTTCGTTTCTCATTTGTGGAGGCTTTTTTTCGGGGTAGCTAAAATAGTCCTTGTAATTTCCAATTGAATTTCTTTCCTCTTCATCGTCGTCGTCATCCTCTATCGTTTTCTCTGCTGAATTCTCGCTGTCGCATCTTTGGTCGCTCTCTTGTTCGGAGTCGCTCAGGTTTTCTGACTGCTTGTCGAGTCTTCCTATCCACGTCGCTTCGTGATCATCTCCATGTGCGATCGAGTTGTGATGGTCCTCGGGTTTTTTTATTCTTATGACTGTTTGCAGTTCTTTCTTCGCATCTAAAGGAAAATCTTTCTTCCTGCCATTGGTAACGGCTTTTACGATTCTGTTAAGACGTAGAATCTTTGCGACGTCTTGTGGACAACGACGCAATTTCTCGGGAAGAACTTCTGTGTTATCGTTATCTCTTTGGGTGCTGATCCCTTCGAAAGAACCATCTCCAAGTTCAGGGGACATTCTTTCTTCGCGATCAACGATTTCGACGCCTGTCTTTTCCTTGAACTTGGTGCTGCATTCTTGGTTTCTCGCTTTTAATCCTTCATGACAAAAGATGACATGTCGAGCTGACCTTTGTTGTTCAATGCAGCCCTCTCTACCACAGAAGCAGTAGAAATTTCCTGCGGTGTTGAAATGGGTTTCTTCCGCGTCTTTGAATCTCTCTAAATTGTCTTTGTCAAATACGTTGTGAGCAAGGTTTTCGCGAGGCAGAACGTACGATTTGTTTGCCTGCTCCGAATTGTCGGCGGAAACGCCACCAAGTGTTTGTGGAGGTGAGGAACGTATTTGTCCAACAACGGCATTGTTAGACTGAGTCTCTCCGAAAGAATACTCGAGAGAGCGAGCCCTTTTTAGAGACGAACGATGCTGATAACTTATTTCTTTACTGTCGCCGAGAAACCAAGATTCCGACGATCTCTTCCTTCCTGCGTTCACTACCTTTCCTTCTTGAACTCTCCTGCAGCGGATCTCGTTGTATTGCATGAAAATGGTTTGTTCTAATTTACGTTGTTTAGTCTGTTGAGAATGGGGTCGCTTCCGGTCTCTGTACCACTGGTATTTCTTCCACACTGGCTCTTCGTCCTTCTTGTGGACAGCGCCCTTTTCCGAATTTATCCCAGTTACAGAGAACCCGTTTTGATACGTTTTGGAGTCGTTTGGCGATGAGTCATTAACTCCAGGGTCTTGCTCCTCTTGGAAACCATTGGAGTTATTCTTACATCTGGGTTCACTGTTATTTAAGACTTGTGCAACACCGTTTCTGTAAACTGGAGGCTCCCCATGACTTACCTCATGCAGAGAGGACTGTCGCCACTCGTGGCGTAAAAACTCCTCGTTGCTTCGTGCTCTAAAACGTTGTGGAACAACATAATTTTCCGAAAAACGCGAAACCATGGTAGGAACTGAACCATAATGGCTGTAAACCCTCTTAGAAGCGCTGGGAAGATCATCAACAGTTGAACCTTGATGGTTTGATAATGCTTCGAAATGTAGATTTCTCATTCGTTCGTCCGGTCGGAATAACCGAGAGCCCGGTACGTGCAAGGAAGTCTTTGAGACAACAATGGCCTCAGGACGCGACTTACTCTCGGAAAAGGGAGATTTTTCTGAACGCGTCGCGTTCCCAGGTCGGGAAACATCTTTTGAATATTCTCTCTTCATGTTGTCTGGCGAGAACCTTTCAGTGAATTCGTGAGGTGATAAATTATCCTGAGGCGATTTACTTCGCCTGGCTCTTCTCGGCGAAGGGCTTCTGGCTGAGCAAGGCGACGTGGTAATGTTGTAGTTTTCGTCTATTTCTTGCTTTATAGTCAGGCGAGGTTCAATTTGCGAGAAAGATTCGTTCCCTAAGAAGAGAGAGAGAAGAAAAATTAACAAAACTTGTTCAGTTATATGTCAGAGTTGCAGAGTCTTGTGAACTACAAACGTGAACTGTACAGTTGGCCATGTGCTCAAAGTAAACGCAAAACGAATTCTCTGAGTAATTTTCTAAGGCAAATTTGTTTCCCGGCCGTCGACTAACCTGTTGTCTTAGCCTACTTTGGACCACAAAAACAGGCAATCAGAAAAGATGAGTTGCCATTGGTGTTGCTTTCGGACATCTGTAACTTGCTTAACATAGACAAACGGTTTTGTATGCAAAGGATAGAATGGGTAATTTTTCTCTTTTTTTAAATTTTGTTTTTTTTTTTAAATCATAAGACAGTTTTGACAATGGGAACACACCAATACTAACATCATTCTTTTATCATTTTTCTCGCGATATAATATAGTTACATGCGTGGGTGAGTTTGTTTTCAGTCGTCAAACAACTGCTACATCGCAAATGAATGACGCACGAGCTCGAAAATCGACTGTGATAAACTATGGTCTGTTTTTGTACTGAGTTTATACGTCTCAAATGAGGCTATACTGAGACCATGGCGCTTTTCTAAGCAAGGCTGCAATGATGATATCGTGCTTCTGAAAACTGGATTCCGTGAAGAGCCTTAAAAAGACCATTGAAATCTAATTATGTCCCCGATATCTGCGAATGGTTCGCATCTCATAAGAAACTATGGCGAAACCAATGCCAAATGATTCCTAAGCACCTTAAAAATACTCTCTAAAACCTATACTCTCTATAAGAATTTGGAGTAAATTGGTTCGAAGAGTTACCCAAACACGTTTATGTCCACAATTTTTAATATAAATAGTAAACGTCTGTATTGTAGCTCGAACGCGTTAAACGATTCATTGCCCATTTACTATATTTGTAAAATCTTTGTACAACGAGTCCCAGTAATGGTGAATTGATTATCTAAATAAGACAACTTAACCACTTCAAATCGACAACTGATCTAAATCTGAGATACTGAGGCTAATACATCTGTTAGATCTGTAGGAAGTAGAGGCACTTTGGTTCCCTAGCAACCTGGCACCCTTTTTCGTGACTTAAGCCCGTGGATCGTATTTTTAAGTTTGTTTTCCTGCACTTTTGCCATATTACTAAAAACTGATATATGTGATATTGTCCCGGGAAAAAAAATTCAACAAATCAAACCAAGATTTCTGTCGGGTTTTACAAACGTAAATAGGTAAGGATGCTATTTTACGGCCGGTTTAAAACTACAAAATTTAGGGAGCAAGTTCTTGTTAAAAGAATTATAACTTTTCTCCTTTTCTGAAGTACAAAGCTTAAACGAATCATGAAAATTGTGCAGATAGCCAATGTGTTGACTTTTACTCCACTTCTGATGGAAAGGGGGATAAAAAGACTTAAGGGGAATCTTTACTCCAAAAGCAAGTCAGATAAAGGAGTAATGTTTTGCGTGATTTCAAGCACCAATCAATTTCAGTTAGGTGCATTCCACAGAACGGAGACATAATATTTTTACTCTTAGACTTGATAAAATCTACGTTCCCCTTAGTTCAACGATGCTTTTACAAGGAAAAGGCAAAGGTCGTGCGAGTAGATCTGTGATATTGTTTCAGTTGGGTGGTATGACAGAATCTGTTTAAAATGAATTTCAAAGAAATGGGGAGTGTCTGATGCATTGAACTCCAAGCTCTTTCAAAGCAGGTATCATGTCAGTTTTAAAAGCTAGAAACTTTCCAGTCGTATGCAAAATACTCTGAGTCTTGGTCTGGTCTTGTTTTATTGAAAGACAATTAAGTTTGTATCTAACTTAGACAGAAGTGGCCTGCAGGCTGTTTTTAAGGTGGTCCCTATCTGGGGGTCACCACGTCATGGCAAGGTGAGACCAAATATTGATGGAAAAGTGTACATGTACATCATCCTAGCCTCGACCCGCAAGTTTATTTTTACTAAGTCTGGACGGAATAAGCTCAGCAGAATATGATAAAATATCACTTTGATGTGGCAAATAAAGTAGGGGCTATAGTACAATATAGACCATCAATATTGATAGGATAATTTTGCGTACGATCCATGGACAAACATTTACTGATTTGTGTCGTCAAAAACATATCTCTCGCTCACGTTAAATTTGGCTTTTACTATTAATTTGTGGGTGTTAAGTTCGTTCTTTGTTCCTCTTCATGAGAATTAAGTTTCCAACTCACATAGATGGAGATACATTTCACAGTGCGTTACATGACGAATCCTTTAATAAAGTCTGTACTGATATATTTCAGTCGGGAAGTTTTAAAATCAGATTATTTCAAGTCTGTGATGGTAATTTGTCGAAGATGTGTATCATATGCTATCAAATTTAAATAACTGCTGGCGTAGAAAGTGCGCATGATAATTCCGCCTTGTGGTGCGCGGTAATCAGGGCAACTAGGAATCATTGTTATTGGTAAGCTTGTTACTGAAAAATGGCTTTGAGGAATGAGCTCTAGTTTATAGCACCATATTGAATTTCACGGAATGGGAAAATCTAATCAGGTTCGAGATCCTTAAACAGGTCAATAATTAAAAAAAGCTTACAGAAATAAGTTTTTTAAGGATGTAGTTTTGAGGTTTTATCCATACCCGCCTTTTAGGTTTGTTAAGCTAAACATCAAAAGCGGGTATTGCCTTTATATCTACAGAAACACTTCGGTACAGAGATTAATACATACCACAAAATTATCTTCTAAAATTTGTTTTGCAGTGAAATGAATTTGGTCAAAGTTAGCGATTTAAATTATCTCATTAACAGTCAACGAAATCTGCGTGATCATTTTACGCTTCGCTAACGTGATCTTCTAATGCGTAGATAATGGAGAGCTTACAATTTCTATTTTGGGCATAGCTTTCAATTTGAAAAAGATACGCCAAGCTTGATTGTGGTAGTAAATTCCAAAGAAATAATGTTGCTTCAAATGCAGTAAAGCTTGTACGGTTCACAAAGGTTTTTTTTCCATTCTTTTTTCGCACCATCTTCGCAGTTGAAGAATGTCTCGGTCTTCGAGCTAATGGAAACTTTTCGTTGCTTCGTTATTGAGCTGGCTGGTTTTTGAATGAAAGGAAACTGATCCTTTATGGCTGAGACAAGCTCTATATAAAGTAATCAGTGTAGTGAATGTTTAAATTATCAGAAAAGCTTCACTGCTCAGAGAGCTAAATGGTAACAAGTAATATTACAGTTTGAGAGGCTTCTAAACGAACGTGTCGTTAGCATACAATGAGTGTCTTCGTGATTAAGATTTATAGCCTTGTAGAAAACATTATGTATGACTAGATCAGAGTTAATACAGGAAACTATTCCCTCTATTAACTCTGACTAGATTAACCAAAAACGCTGACGAACTATCCAGAGGAACGAAATGATTAACTCTTTGATTTATTGTCTACTTGAAAGTCCTGCCGAAGCAGGATAATTTTCTAGCAAAGTGCTCAATTTAGCCATGTTCTTCATCCCATGACAATCTGGAATATATGACTCTAGACGGCACCTTTGGAAGTTCATTACCCTTCCTTAAGATCTGCTTTTCATATAAAAATGTTTATACGGAAAAGCGGTTGTTTTTGTCCGTGTGATAAATTAGAATAGCAAACTGTTAGGAAAAATAACATTTGTATTGTTTTCAGATATCTGATGAACCTCATCACGAACTTGCGATAATTAACGCAAAGAGAGATTCGAAAGTAGTAAACACTCGTTTGTTATTTTTCCAATTCGATGGGTCTTTTATTGAATTGCAGTGGACGAGAATGTGGACGTGACAGAGGAGAAATTGTTCAGGGAACCGAAAAACGCCTCAGGCTTTTTATTGCCCCATGCGGTATTGTGAACTTTAAAGCCGTAATTTCGCTTTGATCATATTGTGTACAAGTTTGGCAGATGACGAATGAAAGCAATTTAATGACTAAAACTTCCTTAAGTCAGCAATCCATGGCAACAGTTTTCATCAGAGGAAATTTGAGATAAGTTTTCACGAGGGTTGTGTGAAGCGGAAAAGGAAGAAACCATGCAGCTGGGCGACTGAGGCCTCAAGCGAACTCTGTTATAGTCTTGTACGTATCCGCCGGTCACATTATCACGTACGTAGGAAAAGTTTTAATGGGTTCAATTTTCTAAATCACAACTTCCCTACCTTGTGCAGTTTCTTCTTCAAAGCTCATTTGTTGTCTGGTGTGGCCAAAGCTTTCAGAATTTGAAGCATTTTCATGTAACTGCAGGGAATCCACCTTTCCTCGAGTCCCTGTACAATACAAGAGGTGACTGTCTTTGTCTGTCTTCACCCTTACAGCCATCTTTCCTTGAAAAGCAGCTTGTGAAGTTTGAGCCCTTTTCCTGTGCTGCAAAATACGTACTTTATCCAGTGGGCTATCACTGACGGAAAATTGTTATTAGAAACTTTTAAGCCGCGTCCTTTGTCAGAGCAGGACGTTTTGACAAAGGGACCTATAAAAAAAAATCAATTATACCTCACTCCCCTTTATTCAAATTTTATAAGTGTCAGTCGGGTATTGTGTGTAAACCAGGCCTGATTATGCTAAGTTGCCGGTATCTCTTGTTCTAGAAGCGGTTTGCATATTCAACCCCCAGGAGACGTTTATTATATATGCCTTACCAAAGTGTGTGTCTTTACAGCCTCGGGAAATACACCTCTATTCATACATTTATATTTGGTTGTCTACATGTCATGCTGGGCCGCTCGCAAGCTAGCCGGGCCGAGATCAAGACGGCTTGCGCAAACTGCCTTGATAGGCCCTTACATTTATTTAAATAATTATTTGGGGCAAAAAAAAAGGGCTTATAAGTGAACCTGTGAAGACGGAATCTTGAGTCTAAGTCAGCAAAAGGCTTTGCCAGTAATCTTAAACATTGCTCGTGGTAAACTACTCAAGTGTATCGATCGAACAATGCAAAGCGAGAAACCACGCCATTTTTATACGGCCTTAGAGAAATGATAATATTTCAAATAATTTAGCCGTCTTGTTTTCCTCGCCGAAAAAATCTGACGATTTTTAATCTCTAAGCTCGGTGAGTGCTACTTTAAACCACTTATGTCAAACTATTTGCTATTTTTATAAAATAGATACTGTACTTGCAATAAAACTCCGGTGCTGTTTTCTGTTGGGCTAATTATAGAAAAGAGAACAAAATGTTCACGCATCCTCTTGTAATTAGACACTATATTTCAAAGAAAAGTTCACTTTTGCATTCATGTTACCATGGATGAAAGTTCTACCTTATATTGTCTTACTATAGTATCTAGAGGAACAATGTAACTACCGGACATAAAGGGCAAAAATCAACAAATGGTTGATCCGTCTTGACCAGCTCTAGAACCTTCTTCGCACCGTCAAAAATCTTTTTTCATGTTAATGCATTAAAGCTGGCATGTTGTTGATATCTTGCTTGAGGCTATCTTAAAAGCATTCAATAGGAATCTATTCATCCAGTCATTTCTCTAAAAGCTTCACCAGGCTGAGACTTAAAAACAAAAAATTAAAAAATTAGTGTTCGAAGTTCTACAACTTGATTCAAAGTTTCCAGCCCGACTTATTTTCAATTCAAAGAGTTGTGAACTTGGAAACTGTGGACCGAGGATTTATTCAAGCAAGTAATAAATTTCCTCGCCTTTAGGCATGTCAGCTTTTTTTAGACAAGTTATTGGCATTAAAATGTGAGCTCTCTTAACAACTCAATAGGAGCCCAAGACATCAAGGCGTCGAACTAAAATTGGTGTCATCGCCCAAGTAGATACTCTTTAATTAGATCAATCAAACCAAGCGCTTGAAAACGATTTTTTCTCTGTGTTTCGACGGTTTTTTTTTGGTTCAACCTTCAGTTTTCAACGAGGAACTCATCAAAGCCTGCCTGCGCCAATTTGTTTCAACGCGATGCTATTCCTAACACCCACTCCCTAACCTACATCGCTTCTGATAAGAACCAAACGAATTGAGTGCACAAATAGAAGATAAAGGTGTAGATGGGAAAAATAACTTACTCCAGAGAATGAAGAGGGCGTTAGTACAAAAGAAGAAAAGAAAATCGATAGGCCATGCAAATGCATTAGAATCTTCCGTACTCAACTATGCAAAATAATCCGCCTTTGTGGAGGTGGTCGCATTTGGTAAGTAAATATTCGATGTTCATGTACCTATTTTTTGAACCACTTCAGCATTTTTAGAGCAAGCCGCCAGCATTTTCGAGGCACCGTGATCAAATGTGTTGGTAGCACCCGCTACATTTTCAGTCAGATGCTTGGCACATTACACACCTTTTGCAACTGAACAGGAACAAGCCTTTCTCCATTCACTCGCTGAGCTTGAAACAATTTGTTATTTCTATTTTAAAAGAAAATCGTGTCCACTGGTTGGGTTTCATCGAGGGTGACTTATTTTCATGATCACCTCAACGCAGAAGTGTTCATGCGTCGTTCCCGGATCACAGGCCGACTGTAGTGGCTCAGACAGGTAGCGTAGATTTGTTTGTGTGGCGGCGTAAAGAAATTCTAAGTTATGTTTTAATTGACTCGCTCTATGACAATCCATTGGTGTTTAGCAGGAAAACATCTTAACATGGCCATCTTAAACCTGAGGTATCGATTGAGAATGGACGAGGATCAAGTAGAAGTCTGGTGGATGGGAAGCCACGTGGTTTAACCACGTGACCTTCCATACGTAACTACCTAGCTCTTTGGATCGATGGGCATAAGTTTCCTCAAGTGTGCTGATATCTAAGATATTACGAGATACATTTTTTTTTTGCACAATAAACTGAGTTTAAAATTGAGACAATGATTTTGATTGAGCTAATGTAAGGAATACTTATCAATTAGACTTATATTCTATTTTGATGATGCATTTGAACTAAAGAAGGCATACTCATAGAGGGGGCACTATTAGAAACCGCAAAAAAATTCGATCAAAACCGAAAACCGCCTACAAACCCGTCTAAACCGATAAATTTGCACATCTCAGTTGTCAAAATCCCAATCGATCTGATACTATGGTTACAGGCGGAGCACCATAGGTTTCGCGGTTATTCGAGATCAGTAGAGGCGTATAACTGCTGCTCAGATCGAAGAGAAACCAGAACCCCAGTATGAAAAACCAACAAAGCACATCGGATACTAAATCCGAGTACCCGTCAAAATTCTGACGAAAATCGAAAACCAAATGCTGAAAACAGAATATCCGCAAAACGCAATGAACAACAAAACCGAAAAACCGACGTTTTTTGGCCCAAAAACCGAAAAACTGATCTAAAAGATAGCCAAAACCGCCAAACCGCAAACCCCAACGCCCTCCTCCTCATAGGCTCGAAGGAACAATCACAGTAAGCTGTTTTACAGTTGTGTTCTTAGTTGCCAAACCTTTGATTTAGGGTGAAGCCGAAGGTGATCTTGTTGCGATAGAGACCATTATCTAGTTAGCATAACAACAAAGCAATTTACATTTGAAAAGCAGCAATGTTTGCCGGTATCATAAAAAGGTCACCCTTAGCCTTACTCCTATTCAAAGGCTTAGCAACCAAGCACACAACTGTAAAATGGACTATTGCCGAAAGGGGAAGCTGTGAACTAATCCTTAACCACTCTCTACCGTTTCAAATTTAATATAACCCAGAGCGGCCCATACAGAGCGATGTTTACTTTTACTGTAGCCCGTGAGCCGTAATTTTCCCGGGTTAGACTTCCAATCTAGGCTTCACAGCGACAGGCGAGGCCTCGAATAACAAATAAGATAGTGAGGAGTGAAACCACTCCTATTCATCGAATTGTTTTTATAATCACCCTTCTAAATCGAATACATTCTTTGACACGGTTCCTTCGCAAAGCCGATTAAATATACAAGATAATTTGGTTCTATCAACAGAGTCAATAATGTAAGTTGGGCGCCGTTTCAGTTTCCAAAGCTGACTTTTCGATTGTTAGCCCCTGCTTAAGCATAACTACGGTATCAACCCAGTTGATAAAACCAAATTTTTATAATACCCCCCCTTACCGACCCAGTACAACAATTCCTTTAGAAATTTACCCCCCTTCATAAATGAAGAGGAATATCTTTTGCACTGAGAGCACAATAAAAAAAGATATCGCTTGAACTATACCTCCACATAACAATATTTGAGCAGGCAATTTATCCATTGAGTGCTTTACGTATATAAGTTTTCTTCTTCATCACATGTACAAAGTTGAAATTGAAACAGTCAAAATTTGCAAGAAAATTCTGCTATAGTTTTTGCAGTTTACATGTCTGATAAAGTAAGACAGATGTACAATTCATTTGTAACGTGTGTGAGACAAAGAAGAGATCTCAGTTTCCAAAGTGTATCGATTGTGAGCCCTGCAAAGACCCACTGGTACCCCTTGTGAAAAGTTATATTCTAGATTTCTAATTCCCCTCTATAACACGTACACTGATAACGTGAAAGACAAATCACGTGACGTATTAAAGAAATTCTACTACTTAGTCCTAACGCGTAGTTCCGCTCGAAAAGCTAAGTAAGCCTTCTTCTGTCGCAGCCAGGAAAGTCATAAGTTTGACGGAAACTCGTAATCACTGGTAACCAGCCAGGAGATCGTTAGCTCGCGGTCTCGCCGAAAGAAAAAAACACTGTACACTCCCAAATTATCAGCAATATTAGAAAAGGGTACTTTTTCCTAACGAAGCCTACAGACTGAACCAGAGTATCTATTATGCGCGTGTGTGTTATCGATCTTTCTGCCTGTGAAAATGTAGAAAATAATTGAATACATTTTATGTGCAGTAACATTGACCGATATCTTCACATGAAGCCGGGTTATGATGCGAGAGTATCGTGCAAATGTATATTTGGTTCCGAGATCCGAACTTGTATTTTCTGCACTGAGTTTTGAAACAGGGATTATATGCGTATAGAGAGCGTGGAAGGACGTGAAGAGTTACCTCGAAGAATATTTCGTGACGATCGAAAAGGACACCTTGTTATCCTTGCCTTATCGCTATTTTCTAAGTTGTGAATGTCACGAGAACGAAAACTGTTTCTTATACGCAATGATTTGAATAAACTACACAACTGTATTCAGCATTGTCTTACCTGCTAAGAACTGAAATCTTCTGGAGTACCTGAGGCTCGACTGGAGCCGAAAGAGCATGAATAACCCGGCCAAAGAAACCACAACACAAGATAAACCGAAATCCAACGCTCGCAAATTGATGCTCCAAATGTCCGGGGGGTTTCTTTTTAGATGACAGTTTTGCGCAGCTTTTCGTAGTAGAGAAGACTTCATTGATGCCCTCGAGACAAAATGCCTCAGGGCTAACCTTTTCGGGAGACAAATTATTTTTTTCATAGCATTTCAGCTGGTTTTCAGCTGCTTACTTATACCCGCAGGACTAGAGATAATGTTTCATAGCATCGATGCCTGAGGCGTTTTGAAAATAAGTCGGCTACAAAACACGCAAAGACAAAACTAGAAAATTTACCTTTTAGAACTGTCATATTTTTTATTGTAAATCATAATGAACACACGCAGCGCGAAATCTTGGCTATTTGTCTTTAGGCTTGCAAAGATTCTCCGTTTAGGTTACGATTAACCCCAACTCCTTTTGAGTTCAATGTTATTTTACCTAGGGGTGAAAACTTGAGTTCAATGAATGAAGAATTTTTAATAAGGTGTGTTTGCTTGTACCGAGAGACAGTTTGACTGACGGTGGATTTTAAACATGAACGGAAACTGCACCATAAAAAAAAGTGGCTGTCGTATTTAATTTTTAAAGGAGTTCGGATGTCTGAGTTGAGGTATTGTTTCAAGAGGAATATACAATAACTTGAACTGCAGCATCTCCCCCATGCACCTCGTTGAAACCGACTGATTCGAAACCTTCCCTCTTCTTCTTCTTACATACCACATGATTGAAAAATGTTGTGACTCACTTCTGCTTGTCAAATCAAAATCATTTTCAAGAGAGATTGTTTTCCAAATTATTCGCGCTATTCCGATTCAATGAAGATTTAATTTCATCGATGTTTTGTTACTAGGAAACAACTCTTTTTTAATGCTAAAAGCGTTAGGCTATCATTTCGTAGGTAAACTACAAACTGGATCATTGTTCATGAATTTTTCTTCTTTTTCATTGCTCGGGACCTCATAACGTGATCTGCAAGTAAACTCCTACAGACAATGGTCTGTTCGTGCGTCATACCGGTCTCACTTACTTTGTTTAGCCGCAAATTCTGGTCTGCTCATGCGTAGCTGGGCCTAAGCTTGTCCGTAGAAAATGGAAGATAGCTACTCTAAGCTGTCAGAGAGTGGTTCCCTGAAATCATTACGCCTGGTAAAATAATTATGTGATAACTTGACAAAATATTCTTTGAACATTTTAGGAGCAATGTTATTGACACATTTAAAATTGAATAGTATTATAGAATATTATTCTCATTGTAAACTCACTCGTTTATTTGTGGGGATGTTATGTTTTTAATAATGAATGAATGAAAAAATTTCTTTATTATTATTATAAAAACAAAAGTTGAAATATACATCGTAGAACGTGTCTTAAGGTACATCCAACCTAATTGTCGCAACAGCTGATCGTGACTAAGGCAACTTTCTTTTAAAACAAATCTAGCAGCTGAGCTCTTGTTTGTAACCGTTCTAAAGTTTTATATCGAGAAGGAGCTAAATTATTGCAAACAAAGTCGCAATAATCTAACTTGGGAAGAATCATAGTTGTTAAGACTCTTTCAGCTGCGTGAACCGTGAGACTGTTTCTGACCCTAACTAACAAACCAAGCTGTCTAGATACCTTATTAACCAGTCGACTAACTTGTTCTCAGAACAAGTTACTCGACCCCATACTACATTACAGTAATCAACGTGCGGCTGTACCAGTGAATTCTATACGTTAAGTAGATTCTCAAAAGGGAGAAACTGATACCTGATACTCTTCATCGCACTTATGCCAGAAGCAATCTTCTTAGAGATGTCGTTAATATGACACTCCCAAGAAAGATTTCCAT